AAGCTATAAAATATTTGAAGGTGAATGACGATTCACCAATTTCCACCAAGATAAACGAAATGTATTATTAGGTTTTAATTGGTTTTGAAACTCCTAGATTCTTTTGAGATTCATTGAACTTTTCAATGGCATGTTTCAATCTCGAGTGTGCCCTTCAGGTTTTGTGACTGGGATGCCGAGGATCACAAAACAAGGTGTGAAGTAACCATGCAAATATACTTGGTACCCTTAATATTTACCCCTCAATCGATGTGCCGGTTAACCACACACGCTCCAACGATACTATGATAAACATTAAGTTACCCTTTGCCTACCTTGTTAAGTCCAGGTTAGTGTGCCGGTTAACCACACACGCTCCACTAACAGCTTAAACAAAGTGCAAAGTGTAATTTCATGGATTAGCACCTTATTCACATTTTCCTAAGTAACTAAGATTGGGAATTTATAAGTGTTTAGTTACTTAGTATTTATCATTATACTTATAATGAAGGGAGAATTATAGTCCTTGTCCTACCTGTTCGGCTAACGACCCTCCACCAGTCAAGGAAGCGGTGGGTGAGAGTGGACACCCATTAAACTGTCATTTTATAGGCAGTAACCTTATACCCCCCTTATAGACCGGCTTCGTGAATGAGGCCTACTAATGGTAAGACGACTTGCTCTTATACATATAATATATTAAACTTTTAATATTATAATAGTATAAGGGTGTATTTTAGACATTTAAAATACTTGGTGGTTTAATCTATTAATTAAACTATACTCTTAATTTAATTAAATTTAAACCATGTCATTATGGAATTATTAATTCTCTTTTAATTAAACACTTTAATTATCTATTAATAAAGTCCATAAGAGTTAATTGAATTATTCAATAAAACATCATAATTCCAATTATTAAATTCAAAATTAAAACCATTTAATTAATTGTTTAAGTTATGAACCCAAGAGTTTTAGAATTCAATTCTTTTTTTTATTTTTTATCATAAAAAAACTTTTTCCAAATTCCAAAACTTGAGGGCAAGTTTTGTAACTCTTGAAAACTTTTAGATTCCATAACTTATGGAGTTAAATACTTGTTTTATGATGAAACTTTTCATGTTCCATAACTTAAGAACAAGTTATGGAATTCTTTAAAACATTGAGACCAAGTTTTGTAACTCCATAAAAAAACTTTGAATCAATTTTTTTTTAAAAACCTTTTCATATCCATAACTTATGGAGGTTTCAAAAAACTCTTTAGATCAAACTTTTAAAACTAATAAAATAATCATATCATTTTATCTTTTACTAAATTTGACCTAATTCAACTCATATAGCAAATGATTCAAATTTTACAAACGTCATGTTTTTTTTTCCTTTTTTTTCCAACTTGAAAATAAAACATTTGCATCAATATAACAGAAAACAACCTGGCTCTGATACCACTGTTGGGTTTTGAGCATTCTAACACTCCTATGGTGTACATGCAACCCTATAAACCTTGGATCTATGTTTTCTCTATTATACATGCAAATATTAACTATTCCAAGGTTTCATCCTAACTAGCATATTATGAAGCACCTATACTACAAAGTTCTAGTTAGATGACATACCTTTTGATGTAGCTTGATGTCTTCAAGCTTTAAGAGCTTAGCCCCAATAGTGTGGAAGCCTCAAATGGAATCACAAATCACCAAAACACCTTGGAAGAACTTGAGAGAATATGTATGCACACTAAAATCGGCCCACTCTTATTTTCACACACTTGTCCCTATTTTGTGAGCCAAGGACCCCTTTATATATTATGGAGGATTAGGGTTACATCCATGTAAACCCTAATACCCATGACCTTTCATTTACATAGGATCCATGGGTTAAAAGCTCCATGGACCATCCATGAAAGCTTAGCCCAACCTAAATGAACTTTTCCCCGCTACGCTGGGCGTACCCAGCTAAACACGCGTGCACTTTGTGCATGCTAGGGACTGCCTTGTAAACTTTTCCATTAAGGGCCATAAATGTCAATATCTTCAAAGTGTCATAACTCCTTCATTCTAGATCCGTTTCCGATGAACTTTATATCCACGGAAAGGTGGCGAGAAGCTCTACGCGTCTAACAACACTCCCTGGCCCAAAACCTTCTCGAATAATACCTCTAGGACTCTTAAAAGACTAGAACGCCCCTAGCCTTGGCCTCTGAAATTCTATAATTGAGTAATTTAGAACAGGGCGTTACACGCGGGGTGAAATTTTTTGTTTTATATTTTTTAGGTATTAATCATTTAAAAAGACAAAACAAAATGAAATTTCATATGACATTAAACACTTGTTGTTTAACAAAGTTAGTCGTAAGCACCATTGGTGCAACGTTTTAATCTTTTAATGATGACCCATGTTCAAAATTTCTCTAAATAATCTACGGTAACCGAAGGAGCCCATTTATGTTCCTTCCACTTACTTTTATTTAATTAGAAAGTTCCTTATTTTTGTAACCTAAATTTGAGTTTTTAACCTAATGGTTTCATGTTCAAGTCCTAGGCCTAGAAGAATTAGTCGAGTCTCTGAATATTCCTGAGGGTTCTCAGGATAAAGACAACCTTAAGGTGAAGTCAACGAAGTTTCTATGATATTTACCTTTGCGTAAGTATTCCTTAATAAGCGATATCGTATCAGTACCGTGAGTAAAATGTGAAAAGAACCATATTTAGTGAGTCTCTATCAAATAAGCTATGATACTATGGTAATACAAAGTCATAAATTAACCAATTAACCAACTGATTACCCTTCCTTCGCTTCTGAAATAGGGAAAAGGAACTGAAAGAGGTCTCTCATGCCCCTTCAAGTTTCCCTAACCGAGAAAAATGGATAAAATTGGACTTGTAGCTCAACAGTCCACCGGGTAGGTTTGTTTATCCTTCCTATTTCAAATGTATTGTTGGATAGTTATAGCGACCAAATTACACGAGATGTATCTTGTTGGACGGAAGGATCCTATGGAAATAGTCCTTTCAGGTATTGGTGGTTTAGTCCATGGTCCATTGGATGGTCGGTGCAAGGCCTCTATGGTATTTTCTGCGATAAATAAAGACCATTTATATAATTTTTGTGTTTTTTCAAGTTGTAATAATATATTTTGAAAGAGATAATGACTTAAAAATGTAATATATTTTTTGATTTGTACATATTTAGTCACTGACTTTTTTTTTCGTCCACATTTACCCATTTAACTTGTTAAACTGTACACATATAGTCCTTATGACCGGCTACTACAGGTTAGCCGGTAAAAATGACTTAATAGGGTAATATATTTCTCACTTTGTATACATTTAGTCCTTAATATTTTTGTACACATTTAGTCCTTAATATTTTTTTTGTTTCAAAATAAGTCATTTTTGTTTTTATACTCATTCAATACTTATGAATGATTTCTTTAGATTTTTTACAACATCTTACGTGGGATAACCATATGCTGGCGGGATAGGTAGAGGTGGTCCTGCTATATGTGGCGGGATAGGGCCGGCTGTAAGCCGTAGGCACGGAGGCTCGAGAAGAGCGGTTAGGTTAAGGCGGCATGCCGACAAACCCTGGGTATTCCAGTCCGTGTTGGTGATTTTAGTGTCACCATGTCATTTTAAGTAACTGGAACTAACATGTGAGCTAAGGGGCTTCATAATTTGTTCTCTATTATATGTACGGGGTTGCGCGGAGTGCACGCATGTATAAGATCGAATTAGAAGCCGGTTCGACGACTAGTCGGGGTTCCGGGGGCAGCGCCCCCGGGTCCGGGGTTTCCAAAGGGGCAGCGCCCCTTTGGCGGGGTCTAGGGGCAGCGCCCCTAGAGGGGTCCAAGGGGCAGAGCCCCTGGCTGGGGTCCCGCTCTTCCTCTAAAAAAGAGGGTTACGATCTTAAGCTCTCATTTTTCATCATACTTTCACAGAATCCTCTAGCATATTGGCTTACGTTTTCTGTGCCTAGAAACGTAGATGTCCACTTGGATTATCCTAGGCTGAATTTCTTGTGACCCAGGCATAGGGTAGAAATATCAGTTCGGAAAGTGATATCACGATCCAAGTTGGTATCTAGATCTCCACCACAAACCCTAATTTTCCTACAGTCCGATGATTGATTGGACCTGTTGCATGTTGGAATTCCTGTCTGATGACTGATTGGGCCAAGGTATTCCAGTCTGATGAGTGTGGGCATGTTATGCATGATAATATGTTTGTTGTATCGTGTATTTTGGGGGAACTCACTAAACTTTGTGCTTACCCAGTTGTTTATGTTTTCAGGTTCTATCGTTGATCGTGGGAAGGCGAAGACACGACCGTACACACTCATCAACAATATTGAGGATTTTGCTTTTTTATATTACTCTGATTTTCGATAAATGTATTTTTGAATAAACGTTTTTTTTCTTAATAATGGATATATAATTAGAGAGTTTTGCCTTATTTAAAAATAAAAATTTTTGGTTGTGGAAATGAGACGTTACACATAAACATCAACAGCCCCACACACTTCATCAATGATTGTCCCACGTAAGATGTCGTGAGAAAAACCTAAAAAAAATCATTCATAAGTACTAAATGAGTACAAAAACAAAAATGACATATTTTAAAACAAAAAAATATTAAGGACTAAATGTGTACAAAAATATTAAGGACTAAATGCGTACAAAAATATTAAGGACCAAATGTGTACAAAATGAGAAATATATTACCCTATTAAGTCATTTTTCCCGGCTAACCTGGAGTAACCGGTCATAAGGACCGAATGTGTACAGTTTAACAAGTTGAAGGGGTAAATGTGGACGAAAAAAAAAACTTAGTGATCAAATGTGTACAAATCGAAAAATATATTACCCTTTTAAGTCATTATCTCATTTTGAAATAACAATCCACCTTTTAAAAGTAACTGGGTCGGGTCAAGCGGGCATTGGGCCATTGGCCATACCCTTCTGGCCTTTGGATGGTGGCCCAATAAAAAACCATTCGTGAAATTTGCTCCCAGCAACTAGAAAATAAATCTTCGTTCGATCAGAGTTTCAAAGAACGAGAAGATCACCATGGATGATGAAGAAAGAGGGCCAAGGTTAAGCAAGAGATTCTCAGACAAAACTGCCGATGGAGAAGTTGATTACAAAACTAAGTCGGGAACTGCTTGGTCTCATTCTTACCTTAATCAAAAGCCATGGCATCCTCTCTCCTACCCTAACCAACGCCGCAAATGGATTGCGGAACAGACTAACGCCCAACAAGAACGTCGTGCCGAAGAAGTTGCCCGTGAGGTAATTCTAGGTCAATTCACTGTTTATTGAAACATTTGCTCAATTTCCCCAATTACTTATCTGTCGGATTGCTCCAGATTTTATCCCTAATGCGCCTAACCTCTTGTTTTGTAATGGTTTCGTCACGCAGTATGCTCAAGAACAGGAGTTTTTCCGCCAGGCTGCCCTTGTTTCAAAAAAAGAGAAGGAAAAAGTGAGGTTTCGCATCTGTTTTCCATTGTTTAGAATATTTGTTAGCTTGAAGTTTGATAGAGTCTTAGGTTTGATTTCATGTTACATTTGTTTGTCTGACTTGATTTTAATTGACCTGCAAATTTGAAGATGGAGATGATGAAAGCTGTTAGCTTCATGTATATCCGACCACCTGGTTATAATGCTGAAAGTGCCAAAGCTGCAGAGATTGCTGAGGAGAAGAAAACTCAGGAACCCTCACAAGATCCACGTTCAGAGGACACAGAGGCAGCCCATATGTAATTGATTATGTCTATGCTTATCATATTACTGATTGCATTTCAATGATTTTCTAATATAAAATAACTTATAGCTATGCTTCTGTTGCAGGTTGCAAAATCCAATGCCACCCGATGATCAAAAGAAGAAGTCAAGACCTAAAGATGTTTTTGGTCGTGTCCTACCAACAGAAGAACAATTTGAAGCCCTTAAAAATGCCCCAAAGTTCGTATCCCAAGTATTGCAGATTGTGTAATAGAAATGAAATGACAAGATTTTTTTTTTCAGGCTAGAGACGGGTGTAGCTGGAAGGGCAAGGCCATTTGGAATTGAAATAAGGAATGTAAAATGTGTGAGATGTGGAGCTTATGGGCACCAAAGTGGTGATAGAGAATGTCCATTGAAGGATGCTATAATGCCTAATGAAGAAAGCCGATTGAAAAGAGATGATCCGTTAACTGCTATTATAGCTCAAACAGAAGCATCTGAGGTGATTTAGCATAATAGGTCCTATCTTTTATAATCACTGTAAAGTAGGATAGTAATGTTGGTTTTGATATGTAATTTCATTTTGCAGCCTCTTAAGTGGGAGTTAAAACAAAAGCCTGGAATGAGTCCACCTCGTGGTGGGTTCAGACCAGATGATCCAAATCAGCAGATTGTTGCAGAGGATATATTTGATGAATATGGAGGTAAGCCTAACTGTAAACTAAATTCCAAATACACACACACATATGTAGCTTATATTAGATTGTACATTGTATAGAATATTGATATCCTGTGTACTACTATGTGTAGGGTTTCTTGGTGAGTCGGTTATCCCTGATCTGCTAGCTAACTTCTCTACAAGCAAGCATAAGAAGTCTAGTGGCAAGAGAAAACACAAAGACAAGGCGCGCTCACCACCAACGATTGGCCACCATCAACACAATTTGTCTGATGATGATGATGGTGGTGGAAGGAGGTTAAAGAAGAGTAAAAGTGAACAGAAGAAGAAGAAGAAACAAATACGGTCTGAATCAAGTTCATCAGAAGAAGATGATAGGAGTAAGAGGAGAAAAGGGAGTGGACATAGGCGGCGTGAAAGTTCAGACTCTGATCAGCAACAAAGATATGGAAGTCGTCACCGTAGCCATCATCACCGCCACCTTAGACGTGCCGATTCATCACATTGAGATTGTACACTTGTTTGACATTTTTTTTATGACATTACTAAGGTGTTGTTTTTTTTTTATAAAAGAGTTTAATGGAGACAAGTTTTAGGGGTTCTTTCCTTTTTTCCATTAAGTCTTGTAAGAGTAAAGTGGATGAATGAATATTGCTTTGTGGATAAAATTGGATAACAAGGTCTAAGATATATAGTCTATAATAAACTGGTTGAATGAGACTAAATAATCATTTTATCGTTGCATTCCACATATAAGCGGGGACAAAAAGGTAAAGAGTTGGTGTCTGAAATCATTATGTTAAGTTTTTTTTATTTAACTGTTTTTTTCTTGGGAAAAAAAAGATAAAGAGTTGGTGTCTGAATTCATTAAGTTAAAATTTTTGATTTAATGATTTTTTTGATTGGAAAAAAAGGTAAAGAGTTGGTCTCTGAATTCATTAAGTTAAGGTTTTTGATTGAATGGTTTTCTGATTCAACTCATTAAGTCAATTTGTCATGATTTTATCCTTGCATTCCACAAGAAGTGTTGGGGTCTTTTTAACATTACGGAAACGTTGAGGGTGTATTTTGCAATTTAAATATAAACCAGGGACGAAGGGAAAAAGAGATACTGGGTCAAAGCTCAAACTCATTAAGTTTAGTACTAGTCTTCCCTCCATTTTCGTAAGAGTCTAGGGTTTTACTGGAGTGTTGCCAAACTCAAGAAATTCTGCAAGCAGCTAAAGTTGAAAAATGGCGTGGTCGATTCGGGCTTTCCATCAAGGTTGCAGAGTTTTGATGTCAGCCGCCAACAGCTCCGCTACCGCCACCGCCACCGCCGCTGCACCCAAGCGTGGCCGCCCCGCCGGTATTCTCAAAGTCGTTCCTGTATCTCAACCTCTTGGAGAGTTTCTCGGCGTCTCTGAAGTTTCTCGAACCGACGCTGTAAAGAAAGTTTGGGGCTACATCAAGAGTAATAACCTACAGGTTCGTGATTCCAACTTTATCATTTCTTTACACTCTGTGATCTTCGTGTAATTTTCGTATATATATTACATGAAAGAGGATCAGTAACTTAAGGTTTGTAGGAAGTTTTCACCTTGTGTTCAAAGCTTGTTACAACCAGAGGCTTGCATGTTTCTTTCCTTTTTGGTTAGGGAAGGAATGAATCGAATTTATTGGGGATTTGTTGGCTTGAAATTGTCTAGCAATTGCTTCCTTACAGCTTAAAAGTGATTAGTTCATCAATTCAATATGGATTATAATTCAATATGGATTATATAATGTATGCTCTTATCATCCCATGAAATTAAGACATTTTATTATTAGTCAAATAGATTTTTAAACGTTTTTTCCCAATCAAATATTGCAACTTGAAGGGTTTGCTGAATTCTGTTGTCATATCATTGTGCAGAACCCATCGAACAAGAAGGAGATTTTGTGTGATGCCAAATTGAAGACAATATTCAATGGAAAGGACCAAGTTGGATTCTTGGAGATTGCTAAGTTATTGTCCCAGCATTTTGTCAAGTCTAGCTAGCTGATGCTGGCATGGTAATGAATGACAATAATACCCTTTATTTCAAAATGTTACATGGTTTCTAGGTGGTTTTTGGGTGTTGGTGGATTCTAGGGTGTGACACTCAAGTCACAACCTTGTGTTTTGTATGTTAATGTGCTACATTTTAAGTTACCAATGTGGCTTTAAAAAAAAGATCTAAAACCAAAGGCATATGTAGTGTACTTATCAATTTTGCTACTTATAAACCTTTATCTGTTTACAACTAACTCACAAGTATTTATCACTTCCTTAGAACTTAATGAATCCTAGATTCATTTTGAAGCTCAAAGGCTCAAACACATGAAGATTTCGTCCCTTATGCTTCATTTCCATAATAATCCTCTAATTTGGGTGTTAGGGTTATATACCTTCGATTCCATAATAATCTTCTAATTTGGAGTGCTATACTTTGAAGATTTCGTCCCTAATGCTTCCAAATCGTTAAAATTGCCTCTAAAAACTCAAGAAGGAACTGTGTTCTCATCTTAAAACACTAAAAACTCAAGAAGGAACTGTGTTCTCATCTTTAAACACATTGGTTATGTAACTCTAATGCGACTTCTTGATAGCTTCCAAGCCATGTAAACCGTCGATTTGGCCATTTTTACCCTTCTCGACCCACAATAGCAACCTAGTTTGGGCTCAATTTTTAGTGACATTTGTATACTTTTAATGCACATTTGTACTCTTTAATTATTTTTAACCACTTAGAATGCTTTATACTTGCTAGCTATTTCACTATTTATGTACAATGTTCATTTGTTTTGAGGATAAAGTGATAAACCACATAAATCATCCTTGTGGTTATGTGAAATTTACGAATTAGGTCATAAACTTGATTTTTTAACCTTTACAAGTCTCGAAAATAAAACCAATTTAACCCATTTCCTTCCTTTGGGTACCACCATTTGACCACGATATCCCGCAATTAAATTCGATTTAAAAATAACATTATACTTTATAAAAGACTAAACTTCTATAAAACATGTAGCGGAAACCCCAACAAACTTAAAACATTTTAAATGAGAATATGTTTACAATTTTTTGGGATGTCCAAGTGTCTAATCAACCATCAAATCATAAGTAACAGATAAATCTTTAGCCACATTTCCATCTCTTGCAGTAAAAAAATATACTTCAAGAACATTCACACCCCCTGCAAAAATCTGGCGAATATTGTGTGGTTTGTGAGTTTATGATTTATGCATAAAGGAGCAACTAAGGAGCGAGGTGGGTGTTATGTTGGTGGGTATACCCCCACACGATTGTGTGGTAGCCACGATAACACCGCCACACCCCCCTAAAAATGACGCAGGTCAAGCCTCTCATTGTGGAAATTAACCAAGAATCACCTCTCTCTCTCTTTCTCTCTCTCTCTCTCTCTCTCTCTCTCTCTCTCTATATATATATATATATATATATATATATATATATATATATATATATATATATATATAGTTGAACCACATCTACAAAACAATATTCTCTTCAAATATTTTCCAAAATGGCTTTAAACAATTCAACCAACAACACCATCCCTAACATCCACAAGTAACCAATTGTTGGTAATAACTTCAAATACATCAACTAGATGTTGGAAATAGTGTCAAATGTCATTAACTATTTTAATAATATTTCTAATAATAGCTGAGTCTTTTTGGATTGTCCACAACGCCCAAATAGAAATAAAGAAATGGAGAAAAATAAGTTATTAATTTATTAAGTAATTAATAAATTAATTAGAAATTATTTTGGAAATTAATTAAATAGTTTTAATTAATTAAAAAGCTTGAATATTGATTAATTTCTAGAGATTAATTAGAATAATCTAGAAGCTTATGGAGAGATGACGGAGACAGTTTTGGAGAGTCGCTGATAGGGATAAGGCATATTTTGAATTAGATAAGGATTAGAGTTTAAATCTCTTAAGAATTTACCTGCTGTATATAAATAGACTGCTAGGGATCAATGCCTCGCTGCTGATTCCCTTTGTAAAAATCATCCACCTCTCTCTCTCTCCCTCTCTCTTAGAAGTCGAAAAATTATAATCTCGCTCCTAGGGTTAGTGATTTTCGATTAAACCTTCCTAAGGGGTTTTCCTTATTAGCTTTTGGTGTTTGTATCCGACTACATTAGAGAGATTATACTTTGGGTCCTTCATCTATTGCAAATTATGTCATTCACAAGGTCTCAATCGAAGAAGCAAGAGGTTAGTATTCTTCTTTTAATTTGTTTTTGAAAGTACATTGCTATAACTAGTAAAACCTAGATTTTAGGATACATGTACACTTAGGTAATTTTTGTTTGTTTCCGCTGTCATGATCAAGTGTATTGATGCTAATAAAACCCAACACCATAAACATATTTGGTTTTGATTCTCCAACATCGTTTAACCAGCTACACGTTTGACGCCCCTATCTTTTCACCTAACCAATTTCAATTTCAAGGTTTCCAAACGTATTATCCATCGCAAAACCTAACCCCAACCTTATTTCCCAACTTCACTCAATTTCCTGAAACCCAACCCACAACGAGCCGGAAACCGAATATGTTTTGGAAACTCAGCTCTCAACCGACTCAAGACTCAAGACCTAAGACCTAAGCCCGTAGCCAAACAATCCTAACAAAGAAGAAAATGTAGGAAACCGTTTCAGTTGTGGACATCAGAGGAAGAAATAACATTGGCCAAATTATAGATCAACCTATCGGAGGACACATCGACCGGTAATTCACAAGCGGATCAACATTTATGAAACAATTAGGAAAGTTTTCATCGGGAATGGGGTGTGGCGAATAACACAAAAAACCCAACTTATCACCAAGTATCGAGAGATGAACAAAGTAGGGACGAAGTTTAATGATTTGTACAATAATCTAAAAATTGCAACGAAAAAGCGATCAATCAAACGAAAACATTTTCGTCGCGACGCTCAAAATACATCATGATCCAAATAGAGGGAAGGCGTTTAAATTTGTTTAAGTTTTGAAGGTTGTACCATGTTCTCTGAAATGGCTCGAAGTGGTGACATTACACAAGAAAATCGGTGGCTCGAAAAGAACGACAGCATCCGACTTAACTTACACAACTTCATTGGATACTTGATTCATATTCAACCTTGAAATTCAAGAAATAACATGCATGAATAAAACGGAAAAGAAAGGGTCTTCATCTAATGTAGCGGGATATCAACAAAGCGAACATTTAGAGAAATTGGGAATGACATGCCAACAATATAATTTGATTTTGACATGTATTTGGAGTTTGATAAAGAAAATCGGCTAAAAAGCAAAAGTGCATGAAGAAAAACAACAAGCACGCTACGAAAAAAAACCATAAAGATGTAAAAAATAAACCTTTAGGCTTGTTTTAATTATTTTATGTTTTAATTTATGTATTTTTAGTATTTTAGTTTTGAATTCATGGAAAATATCGTGTTTTTTATTTTGTTTTTGTAAATTTTTTATATGTTTTATTAAAAAAAGGGTAAGTGAGTTGTTACCATTTCTAAGGTGAGAGGAGAGTCCATTTTTAAAGGTGGGAGGAGAATGAAGAAAAATAACGTGACGCTGATTTAACAGAATAAATAAAATATTTCTTAAAACTTTACCTTTTGTTTCTTCCTTAATATGATTTGATTTTTTGAGAGTTTTCCTATTTCAAAAAGTTCATAGAATTTGAAAGAACTATTGTTGGAGTTTTTTCAAATATCTTGTTAATTAACAAGCTAGTCTTTTCAACAATTTGGTGGATCTAATAACTTTTCTACCTATTAGAAATTGATAATTACACAATAGTCCTATAAATAAACAACCCGAAGGTCTCATATTGTTAAGAAAAATTAAGTTTTTTCACTTGTAAGTTTTTCATGAAAAAACTTTCATAATGCACTTAGACTATATGTCGTGTTATGTCGATGGTTTTAGTGTCATCAACCATTTTTGTGTAATTGGAGCTAATATATAAACTTAGGGGTTTATAATTTATACTATATATTATATGTTTGGAGAGTGCGTTGTGCACACATATATAACATTGAATTATAACTCGGTACGACTAACGACCGGGGGGGGGGGGGGGGGGTAAGGGGGTGCGACCCCCTTGTAGAGTACTAGGGACAACGCCCCTAACGAGGTCTAAGGGGTAGAGCCCTTGGTGGTGGTCGATGGGTATCCCCCCAAAAGGTCTTCAAAAGTTTAAATTAAAATCATAGTGGAAAATCCGGATTTTAATAGGTAACTATGGTAAAATTGGCAAAACTTGTCAGTCTTGAAAACCATTGATGATGCCATTAATTTCTAGATTTACTTAACTAATTCAGAAGACAGAGACCCCTAATTGTCAAGTATAAATAGGGCTCTTCTATTTGAGCCAAGACACATCCTTCTTAACTTTTATTCTTCTCTGACGAACTCATAATTCTTCTAGCAATTTGACTTATGTTTCTCTGCCCAAACCTGTAAGTGTCCCTTTGGATTATCATTGACTGAATTTATTGTAACCCATACATAGGGTAAATATATCAGTTTGAAAAACGAACTTATGCGATCCATTGGAAATCCATATCTCTACCACAACCCTTTTAAGCCCTAACATGTTATACCTTTCTCATTCTCCCTTTTAACATTTGTATCATGTCGGGACCACCGTATTTCCTATCAATATTTCATATAAATGCTCAATGTACACTCCTTTTATGCACATTCTTTCTCAACATGGAAAAGAGACAATGCATCAAGGAATGATTATGGCGTGACTCAATCCCGGTCGGAGTTAATGAGCACAACCACCGTGCTAGTCGGCGTGGTGTTCCTATCGGGCAACGCCGTGTAGGTACATGACTACATGTACAATGGCGGAGGCATGCACCTAGCCTTAGTCTTAGGTGGGGGGTAGAAGTAGAACTAGACCTGGCAAACATGTCGTGTCGTGTCAGGTTCGTGTCGTGTCAAGACATTAAACAGGTTGAAAGGGCTTGACCCTAACCCGACCCGTTTAATTATCGTGTCGTGTCGTGTCAACCCGTTTATTTTCGTGTCGGTTTCGTGTCAGGTTTCGGGTTAAGGTTTAGACCTTGTAAATATGTTGTGTCATGTCGGGTTGAAATAGGGTTGAAAGTAGGAGTTGTGTAGGCAAAAAGGAAAAAGTGAAACACTAGAGTTATGAGATGGAATGACAAAATTTATAATAAGTTTAGAAGGAAAAATGAAAAGAGTTAAAGTTTGGGAGCAAAAATGATAGGTGGTGAGGATGACTAAAATTAAGTAAATTTGAAAATTTGAATATTACTTCTAATTCTTGAATTTGGTCCACTACAAGTCTATAACATATAATATATTTATAAAAATATGAAATTCTTATAAATAATATATAATTAAACGGGTCATATTCGAGTCATCTTCGAGTTGAAAATCTTGACCCTAACCCTACCCGTTTAATTATCGTGTCGTGTCGTGTCAACCCGTTTACATAAACGTGTCGAAATCTCTGACCCTAACCTGCTAATTTCGTGTCGGGTTCGTGTCGGGTTTTCGTGTCGTGGCATGTTTTGTCAGGTCTAGGTAGAACGTTGAGCCATGTGAGGCTTACTATATTTAACAAAAAATAACTTTAAAAAAAACATAAAAGTAGAGAAGTCATTTTTTATATCAGATGGGACAAATACCATAACAAAAATCAAACTTAAAGACCAAGACCATTAACTTTAAAAAAATAAAAAAAATAAAAATTACTAGACTTGCAACTTTGACTAGTTATGAATTCCATTTGATTTCTTTGCATTTTCATATTATTCGTATCGGTTATCTTTTCCTTTGCTTGCGAAGCAATTCCATTTCAGCTGACATTTTATATACTCTCACTTGAACTCAAAGCAAAATCACACAATCCTTTAAAAAGATAGCAGAAAAATGAGCGCTACTGATCACTCAAATGAAGAAGAACGCTTCGACGTCCTCACTAAAACTGGTCAAAAAACCGGTATCTCCAAACCCAGGTCAGATTTCATAATTCTTTTCTACAGTTTTTAATTTCATAACTGTTTTCATCTTCGAGTCGGACTACATTTGAAGGGGTTCTATACTATATGCTTCTAGGGCTTCCTGATCATGCTAGAACTCCCCGGGGAGTGTTTGGATGTGTGTCAAAACTCTAAACTTATTATTGTGATTTGAAGTTCAATATCAATGTTAGAGTGTTCGGAAACTGATTATGATTCCGATTGTCATTAGTTAAGGTCAAAATAATCAGATGTTGAGATTAATTTGAAATCACCCAACCATCCCTCTAAGTCACAATTACTGTTTAATCTACCTTGTACAGAGGAGCTGTTCACAGAGATGGGGATTATCACCGAGCTGTTCATGTGTGGATTTTTGCTGAAAGTACACAAGAACTTCTTCTACAGAAACGGGCTGACTGCAAGGATTCATGGCCTGGATTATGGGATATCTCTAGTGCTGGTCATATATCTGCTGGGGATTCATCTCTTATCACTGCTAGGTAAATTATTGAACTCTCGTGGAAGCAAATTTTGGATCTAATCATTGATATAAGTAACTAATTCATTGTTATATGTTTATTGTTTGCAGGAGAGAGCTTCAAGAAGAGCTTGGTCTGACACTCCCAAATGATGCCTTTGAATTACTTTTTGTTTTCCTGCAACAGAGGTAGACTTTACTTTCTTATTAACATGTTTTTCATTAAGCTACAGAGATTAAATGTTCTGATTATCATTCCATGACTTGCTATTGTTATAAATTTGTAATCGCAGTGTCACAAATAATGGTAATTTCATTAATAATGAATTTGATGATGTTTATCTCGTTACAACAGTATCCCCAATTCCCTTGGAGGCTTTTACTCTTCAGGTGATGTATAATTCAATCATTTTTTATTTTGAGTATATATACCAAAAGTTTATTAAGTTGTTATTGAAATCTAAACATGTTTTTGTTCTTTTTCTTTCAGGAATCTGAAGTTTCTGCTGTTAAGTATATCTCCATTGAGGAGTATAAGCAAGCCCTTGCTAAAGAAGATCCTGAGTATGTTTCCTACAGTCTAGAGGGGCAATATGGTCAACTTTTTGATATAATTATGAAAAGGTACCATTGCAATGTGGAAGCACCAAGTTTGGATCTTCAAAAGAAGCTCAATCGTTATGCTCCTATCTCACTTACTGCAGAGGTTGTATAATTGTATTCTCACTTTAGCATCAGTTTTACTACAATATGAATTATTTTTTTAATATGAATCTTTATTCTTTTTCCACAGTTGACCGGTTTGACCAAGGAGGACAAGGAAGCATTAGTGTTACTCATTCATGCTGCAAGAATGATGGATGATATTTTCCATCAGCAGGTTTTGTTCAGCAATCCATCTCTAAGAGAATGGTTAAAGGGGAATGCTCATAAGTCCCATTTTGACAAGTTAAAAATGGAGTTATTATTCAGTAAACAAAAGCCCATGGTAAGACCCTGTTCTACAAGTACCTTATAAGACCACTCATCATATCTTTGGTATTTGTGTAAATTAAGGTTATTTGGTTTTGTAGGTCTTGCCTTGATGAAAATGAAGCATTTTTGACGACTGCAGATGCTGCCATTAGATTACTTCCGGAATCAACAAAGCCGATTCCAGGGTGGAATGGAATTGAATACAAGGCTGCCTTTCCCTTGAAGAAACCACCTGGTGCTAATTTCTACCCCTCAGACATGGATAAAATGGTAAACTTTTTTTTATTTTTTTTATTTTTACAAGTGGCAAAGTTGTAAATTATTGCCTGTTGACTCAGAGCTTTCTTTTTTGAATTAGGAATTTGAGTTGTGGACAAAAGGGCTTTCAGGTGATGAAAAACAAGATGTAGCTGGATTTTTCAGTGTTATTAAAAGGCATAGTGATTTGCATTCCAATTCCAATAATAAAGTTACTCCTTCCAGTGATCTCTATAGCATTCCTTATTCTCAAGAGTATTCTGCAATTCTTGCAAAAGCTGCTGAATTATTGCATAAAGCAGGTGATTTGACAAGTTCACCTAGGTAAGAAAAAAACAGTTTGCTAAATTTTTTAGACTCCATGTTATAAGAAAGTAAAAGTGTTTTAATGCCATTTATGGTTTTATAGTTTGAAGAAACTTCTACATAGCAAGGCTGATGCTTTCCTTTCAAATGACTATTATGACTCGGATATAGCCTGGATGGAGTTGGTTAGTTGCTAATTTTTTAGAGTAAATTACGTTTTTGGTCCCTGAGTATAGTTCATTTTGCCAATTTTGGTCCCACAAAGTTTTCTCTTGCAATTTTGATCCTTATTTGAGGTTTTTATAATATTTTGGTCCCTGTTCCAAGTAAAATGACTATACTTTTGTGACCAAAATTGCAAAAATCAGCTATACTCAGTGAGCCAAAAATAGTCATTTCACTTGGAACAAGGACCAAAATTGTTACAAGAACCTCAAATAAGGGCCAAAATTGCAAGATAAAACTTTTTAGGACCAAAATTGCAAAAATCAGCTATACCTGGAGACCAAAAATTAGATTACTTTTTTTTTTAACCCGAGTATAAAATGGGTCGAAATTGCCACCTCCAGGACCTTGTCACATATATAATAATGAATCAAAAGTTTAGCAAAATCAAGTTTAAATCTTCATTCACTAGTAAAAAAATTAGTTTGTTCAATATTTAAATGTTTTTATAATGGTGTACATCTTTCTTGTTTTAAAGGATTCTAAGGTGGATGTTACTATTGGCCCATATGAGACTTATGAAGATGTACTATTCGGATACAAGGTATTATATATAGTTTTTGTTATATTTAAAATCTTTTTGTTTTTAGAACAACTGAACAAGTTCTTTGTGTTGATTTTAATGTGGATTATGAACTGACACAAAAATTAATCAATTCTTTTTATTACTTTTGAGTCAATCTATACACATACTATATACCTTGTTTGTAACAAATAATGTTTTTAAAAATCTTTCTTAGGCAACATTTGAGGCGTTTATTGGAATTCGGGATGATAAAGCAACTGCTCAAGTTAAACTGTTTGGGGACCATTTACAGGTGCAATTTTAAATTAAACCTTATTTTTTTCCCTATATATCCAATTAATTAAAATTATGTAGATTTTGGAGCAAAATCTTCCATTGGACAACATTTATAAATCATCAGAAGTAATATCCGCACCTATACGTGTCGTGCATCTTGTTTATAATTCGGGGGTGAGTCCTTTAAAATTACAATGAAAAATTTCATGTGTATATTGTTTTTTTTTAGTTTTGGTATTAGACAAAATGATTTAAAAGATTAATAATGTTATTGCAGGATGTGAAGGGTCCTCAAACAGTTGCATTTAATCTTCCAAATGATGAGCGAATAGTAAAAGATCGTGGCACATCAATGGTGATGCTGAAGAATGTTTCTGAGGCAAAGTAATTAAGTACATTCTTTTACTTTTTTTTTCCTACTATCTACATTACATATATTCTTAAAATTTATTTATTTGTTTTGAAAACAGGTTCAAGCTTATTCTGCAGCCTATAGCTGATGTATGCATTATAAAGGAACAACGGGAACTTGTTGACTTTGACTCTTTTTTCACTCACACAATTTGCCATGAGTGTTGTCATGGGATAGGACCACATACAATAACACTTCCAGATGGTCAAAAGTCAACTGTGAGATTGGTGGGTTTCTTTTTCTTTTTCTTTTTACCAAATTTAATAATCTTTATAAAATTATAATCGCTTTATATGAATCAACAAACAGGAGCTACAAGAACTCCATTCAGCTTTGGAAGAAGCCAAAGCCGACATTGTTGGTTTGTGGGCCCTAAAATTTCTTATTGATAAGGTCAGTAGTTTGTTGATATATATTATTTTTAATTAAAATATTAATGTGGGTAAAGTAAATTTGAAGATAATGAAAAGTTGACCATTGGATTGACCAGGATGAGCTTCCAAAGAGCCTGGTGAAGTCAATGTACGTTTCTTACCTTGCAGGTTGCTTCCGGTCTGTACGTTTTGGGTTAGAGGAAGCTCATGGGTACTCCACTCGATTTGTTTATATATTAATCTGATTAAAAATGTTTTTTTTTTCACTTCATAATTATTATTATTTTGAAAATTTGTTATCAGAAAAGGTCAAGCTTTACAATTCAACTGGTTATTTGAGAAAGGGGCATTTGTTTTACATCCCGATGAAACATTTTCTGTTGACTTTGATAAGGTAGTGTGGTTGTTTTTTTTCTTTTGGTAACTTATAGATCAAGTTCCTATTGGGATGATAATGAAAATTACTTTCTGGTTTGATAAATGATAGATTGAAGATGCAGTTGAGGGGTTAAGTAGGGTTATACTAACAACACAAGGAAAAGGGGACAAAGATGCTGCTCGACAACTTCTTACAAAATACTGTGTCATGACACAGCCTTTAAAACTTGCTTTGAAAAAACTAGAAATGGTTCAGGTAAATTACTTAACATGTATTTACTATTTAGTAATATATAACTTTAATTACCCCTTATATTTATTCCTTATTTTATTTTGATTTGTATTTTGCAGGTTCCAGTGGATATAATACCGGACTTCCCAGTTGCTGATAAATTGCTACAAGAGAAGTCATAAATGGTTTTTTTTTTTTTTGTTACTTGTACTTGTTGAAACCAACTTTTTGGCCAAAAGATAAAGTCGCTTGACTAGTTCTCATATTGTGAAAAATGAGATTTTGCCATTGTTATCATTTAAAAATGTCCTTAGAAACTTTGTCCTGTTCAAGAGCAAATGTCTGTCATTTTTTGCAACTTCAAAAAATTTAGCATTGAATATTAAAAGAAACATGGAACAGCTATTTGGAAATGATATGTGGTTGTTAATGATTATGTTATTTTGTGATTTTTTTCGTAATAGTGTTTTGTTGATCAAATCTGATGGATTATGATGCCTATATAGAGAATTAAATTTCCAAGGAGATGAATAATTAGAGATTTCACTCATACGTTTCTCATATGATTGCATGTTTAATTTATAAACTTATAGCTTATGTGCAAGTTATAGAATCATGTAGATTTAATCCATTGAGTTATAACAAATGTTATATTCATGATATTACATATACGTATGTTTACCTTAAACTAGGATTTTACCCGCTGCATGTTGTGACAGCAGTAATATGTTTAAGTTGAATTTTGACGATTACATTGATAAAAGTTAGACACTGCTGCATCTGTTGGTAGATTAATATAGGAGGTTGGTGTCACTGAATAACTCCGGTTTATACTGTCGAATGAAAATATATTATATGTGATTGAACTCATACGTAAGAAACATACATAAAAATAAGCACAAAAACATACACAAAATTTACATCAAAACGTAAAAGAAATTTGAATTTATATCGACACGTATATAAATAAGCAAGTAAGATTATTTTATAAAGATAACATACGGAAGTTCAAATAATAAAAAAACGTATTATATGTGATCGATCAATACGTAGGAACCATATATAAAACAAGTACGCAAACATAAAAAAAAAACTTAGGTCGAAATGTAGACAAAATCGAATTTATACTGATCGATAAAAAGTTATTTAAGTATTCAGATCGATAAAAAAACTATTTCCAGACTAATTTGGAACAATGTGTCAAAGTGTAATGGTTTTTTGGATTTTTCATATTTTTTGGTTGGTAACTTTATTTTACTTAGTAATAAACTATAACATAAAGAGAAAATTACAAAATTTAACTTAATTTTATAAATTTGTTAAAAAAATTTAACAAATAACCGGTATAATCATCGAAATAACAAATAGACCTTCATGGTATGTGGTTTCTTCAATTAGACTGCGATATTTGGGTTATACATACAATTTCATTAAAAATATAAAGAAAATTGTTTTTTGCCATTTTGGTACTAACCAAATCATAGATAACATTTTGAGAAAGATGACACAACCTACATGGGTAATGTGTCTTTTTTTTTTTTTTTTTTTTTTTTTTTGGGATATTTCTTGCAAAATAGTTAAAATTTTTAGTTAGGTTTATCTTTTTCACTAAAATAAAAGGAAATGCAACTTCTCCTTAAAAAATCAACTCATATGTATAAAATATAGACATGTTAACTGATTTGTACGATAACTAACTTATATAATAACAGTAAAAATGTTATATCTTATAGAATCAATTTGTTAAGATGAAGAATAATGTTAAAATATTGATTATCAAAAATACATTTACTCATTTATCCAATATACTATCATTAATTTGACATGTAATTTATTTTTTGTAAAATGAAATTGACGGTTCCAAAGAAAAAGAAAAGGATAATGGTGGTGGATGTGTAGCTACCCGATCGACGCGACCCGACCCGACCCGAATATGTGCGACGCAAAGGAGCCCCCAATTTTCTCCTAGGGGATTTTTCCATTCAGAACTCATCAGCGGAGAACCAGATCTGCCGGCGTGCTTTTCCGGCCGCCTGTTCCGGCCGTCTAAATTTATATTTGCTACAACAGATTATTTATCTAGATCTGAGAATTTGTGGTGTAATCATGACCGTTTCAGAAGATGAAGACGAACATCTAGCTCATTTTTTAGAATCCGAAGTTCTTTCAGAGATCTCCGATCAGGTAACACGTAATTCTTTGTTTGAAAATGATCAACTTGGGTTTTCGATCTTGTTATCTAGATTCGAGCTTTTTATGTGTCTGTGTGTGAAAAATTATATTATATGGTTAATTTAGTTCGGTGATCTAATATTCCGAGCTTAAAATTGGATTTTGGTGTGATATTCAGGAAGATGCAAGATCAGAGAAAGAGGACGTGCGACAGCCGAAGCGGCTTCGGATGGAGCAAAATGGTGGCGTGAATAACAGAGTAATAAATCCAAGGAGGATAGACGATGGTTTCTTCAGCAGGATTCCTCCAGAGCTCTTCCCTCATATCCTCAAGTTTCTCTCCTCTGAGGTGGTGCTACTACTAACTGCTCCCTTTGATTACTCTTTTCTAAATACAAGTTGAAATAGATCTATTTGATTTTTTGCTACAAACTTTCCTCGGATGGGTTTGATGATGATCTTGAAAAAATTGCAGGATCTTGCTTCATGCTCATTGGTCTGTAGATTCCTAAACTTCGCATCTTCAGATGAATCTTTATGGCGTCGCCTGTGAGTAATTTCTGTCTCATAACTCCAACGACAATTATAAGTTTGTTGTTTACAAATTATCTTTGATTATTGTATGTAGGTACTGTATGCGGTGGGGAATCTTGCCACCAACAAAAACCTTGCGTGATCGTGCTTGGAAGAAGCTTTATATTCAGGTAGATTTACCAACTAAAACACAAAATTCATCATTTTGATATTTAAATCATAATAATTTACTATTCCTCCATCCCTAAGTTGCTTACCTTTCAAAGAAACAAACTTTCCCTTGTGTAGCGTGATGAAGAAGACATGGTTGAGTTTGTTAGAAACTGCCCGAATGAGTTCAAAGAGTACTACATCCAAATGCAAGTAGCAAAGAGAAGTCAAGCACCTCTCCCTTGTCAGGTGAATAAAGTTCATTGCTATTCCATTTAAGCAGGAAATTACAGAACAGACAATGACATGACATGACAGAACAGAACATAACATAACAGAACAGAACAGGTTGTACTGTGTTTGGCGTGATTTGGACTTAGACTGTGATTGACTATATTATTGATTAAACATGTGTAGTTGAAAGATGACTGGATGATTCTAGACAAGTCTGTTGCTGATCAAGTCTCCATATGGAAGAAGAGCAAAGGACTAACAGACAAGGTGTTCTCTGATCACAATTGTTCAGGAGAAACCTGTTCTTACTATCAAATTGGAGATGTTTTTGTTTGCGAGACTACTGGATATGTTCATGGTACGTTCTGTTTCTCATCTTCATATGTTGTTGCAAACATTTTAATGATTATTACTTTGGTTATGCAGTGTGTGATGATACTTGCAAGGATGTTGTCCTTGATCCAGAAAATGAGCTCTTGGTTTGTACAATTTCTGGCCATTGTTTTGATCGATTGCTTTCTCCATCTGAAACTGGAGATATGGTAAGTTGACCTTAAAATACTTTCCTTAAAAAGAAAGAGACATGATTTTATTTTTGTTGAAAATTATTAGGAAGAACAGCAACAAGTTGGTGTCACAGATGAAGCAGAGCCATTCATGGGATCGGGCCGTTTTGGTACTAATTTAATTTTACATCAACTAGATTATAAATTGAGTAAATTACGGTTTCAGTCCCTTAGTAGTATAACTGATTTTTGCAATTTTGGTTCCAAAAACTTTTCTCTTGCAATTTTGGTCTTCCTTTGAGGTTTTTGGTCATTTGCTTGGAACATGGACCCAAAATGTTACAAAAACCTCAGATAAGTACCAAACCTGCAAGAGAAAATTTTTGAGGGCCAAAATTGCAAAAATGTTACTATACTCAAGGACCAAAAACGCAATTTACGCTTATAAGTTTCATGACTTATGAATATATGTTTGTTTATATATGTTGTAGCGCGGGCATACCAATTGGGTTATAACTGTGAAGATGAAAAAGAGCTGGAAGCTTGCTTGAGGTTCTGCTAAACCCGATTTTGATATTACTATATTTTCTGGAATTTGATATTTAAGTGTTGTTAAATAATTAATATTTTCTATACGGTATTTTAAATTAGTTAGTAGCTTATAACTTAGTAAAATCAATAAAGGAATTGCCTGTCGCTGTGAGCTTGCCATGTTGGATTTCACAGTTTATACTGAATCCCACATCCATCATGGGTTAAATTAAAGATGGCAAGACCTAACACGAAATAAACGGGTTTGAGTGAGAGATTTCAACTCATTTAATTAAACGGATTGACATTTCACAAAACGAAAATTAAACGGGTAAGTTTAGGTTGAGAAACTCAACTAAAAAAATGATCCGTTTATTAATATACGGGATGATTTTATTTTATTTTATTTTAATCTTTATATAAATTGGACAGACCCAAAACCAAAAAGTGATGTAAAAGAAAAAAGTTTAGGTTGAATCGTTTTGTAATATGAAAACGATTTAGCCACCGAGGTCAATACTTTATTTTTTGTTTTTATCCTTTTTCTCACATACTCCACTTAGCCACTCCTTCCTCATCACCTGGCTTCTCGATTTATTAACTCCTATTATTTCCACTTTGTCCTCTAAACTTAATGAGATATTTGCGGTGCTGCCTTTTTTAATCAAACTCTTTCAAGTAACATTTTTAGTGCTTCAACTCAACATTTCAAACAATTTTAGTGGGTGTTTGGCATAACTTTTTAAAATAGCTTATTAGCTTTTTAGCTTTTCAAAAAGCTATTAAGTTAAAAAAGTGTTTGTGTATTTGAAAAGCTTTTTTTTAAAACAGCTTTTTGGATAGGAAAAAGTAAAGCTTTCAAAAAGCTGGAAAATCTTAGCTTTTTAGCTTTTTAACCATTTTACTCTTAAAAAACAGCTTTTCTTATCCAAACATTTTTTAAAACTAGATTTTCCTAAAAGCCATAAGCTAATAAGCACTTTTGTGCTAAAAAAGCTAACCCAAACATGCCTTTAGTGTTTTAACTCAACATGACACAATGCATCTATAAGGTCTAAACCCTAACCTGTGTTTTAACTCAACATGACACAATGCATCTATAAGGTCTAAACCCTAACCTGTTAACTCGATACAAGTCTGAGATAAAATAAATGTGTTGACACGTCATAATTAAATAGGTTGGGTTTGGATCAAACTCTCTCAACCCATATAATGTTTCAACAAAAAAAAAAAAAAAAAAAAAAACTAGACACAACGATGTGGTTGTGAGGTCTAGTTACAATGATTTGGAAGAACTAG